ACTGTTGATTGCAAACGTTTTGAAAATGTTGTTTGGAAGAAAACAGGTTTTGTAGTTCAGTCAGCCGACGTACACGGAGCAGATTAATACATAAATGTTTAATAGGTTTATCTTTAACGTCTGGTGTTATTTACAGTTTAGGCCTTTTTTTCCCTAATTACTGTGTAAAATCTGTTTTTCTGCTTTACTTTATTATCTGTAATAGAAAAAACAAATCAGTGAATTAACAGTAAATTCCTTAAAAAACAAATTTACTGTCAAACTTGTCCAGTTTCATGTTGACGCTGATGAACGAGACACGAACAGTTTCTGGATTTCTGCAGAACCGACCGGTTCGTTCACTTTTAAACAACATTTTGCTGGAGGGCAACAAACATGGAGGACGGAGCCTTAAAACAACGTCAGTGAGGGATTAGAACCAGCGACCGGCCTGCAGAGCTGAGCTGACCTTTAACCTGCTGCTGCTCTGCTGCCGGCGCTTCACGTCCCCGAGTCGATGGCGCTGTTTGGATCGATACTGTCCTCCCTGTTCCTACCTGGACGCGCGCACACACACACATTAACACACACATTAACACACACACACACACACACACACAGTAAAACACACACACACACACATGCAATCAGCCTCCTGCTCTGAGCTCGTCTCTCGGGCCAGCGGTTTATCTCGGGCCTCTTTGCAACACCCACGACCGACGGAGCAAAGTCCAGGCTGCTTATCTGAGCCTCTGCTGGCCAGCGGCGCTCCGTCTGTCCGTCTGTCCGTCTGTCCGTCTGTCTGAATGACACACACACTGTCTCATGGACTGTGCTTCTTCTGTCTCGCTTCACGCAGACGGATTTGTGCCACTTTCTGTCCGTCGGTTCTGCTGCAAAACCGTGTTAATGCTAATGCTAATGCTAATGACCAGGAAGCTCAATCAGTCCTGCAGAGTCTCTCCCAGCAGCATTTAGATTTATCTCGGTGGGTTGTTTTCACATAATAATGTTGCACCAACTTAATATCGTGCATAATTTAAACTTAAATTTCTTTGAGACTAACTTTAAGTTGAGTTAATTGGCTTGACGGCTGAACGGTTAAAAGTCGCCTCGTTTAAGGTTAAAAATACCTTTTGTTGGTTTTCGTAGCTCAAACAGATCAATGCAAAATGTTAACGTCCACGTATTCATGTTCAGGGTGGAGAGTTTAGTGCTTACAAGAAGTCGAATTAAACGTCTGTGTTTGGTCTGAGCAACAAAACCTGAAATATTAGTTTTATAATGAACAAGAAGCAGAATCAGTTTTATTGCAGAGCAAGTTTTAAGAAGGTTTAAATAGGAAATGTAAGTTTTCCAGGACAAATAAGAGGACGTGTTGGAAATCCAGGGAGGTTTAAATGCTAAAGAAGTCATAGAAATATTTACAAGGTGCACATTTCCACTGTATGTGGTGCAGAAATCAGAAACTGTCAACTATCACATCAAGTCTTTCAGTTTTCCTTCGTGTCACTTTGGACCATCGTGCGTTCACTGCTTTTGTTTTCTCCTCTGAAGCGTCTTTACGAGCTTTATCTCCGTCTGACGGCTCCGTCTTCTTTACAGCCTTCATCCGACTGTCTCCGTTTATTATTAGCTTGAATTCTGTATTGCTTTCTGGATTACAGCACTTTATTGTACACGTTTTAATGCCCTGATTTCACTTTCAGAACCTCGTGCTCCCATGATTCCACTTCCTGTCCATCAAAACATTTCTTGCTGCGGGTTCTGATTTGGTACATGATCAGGTTCACGGCCGTCTCTCTGCCTGAACAACGGACCCGTCTGCCATCAAAGCCTCTTGTTTTTTTTCTAAACAGGGAGAGTACAGCCTGAGGCCTGAACTGTAAATGCTCTCTTCCTCCTCCTCCGTCCCTCTATTCCCTCCCTCTCCTCAGGCAATAACAAGTGCAAACAGTTCATCCACCTAACAGGATCCAGGATGCACTGCCTCATTTGCATTGTACATCTTGAAAACACGCACCACCCTTCTCCTTTCTTTTCCCTTCTTTCTTTCATTCTTCTCTTTCTTGTTGTTCTTTTAATGCATCCCAGTTGCTAGAACATAAACTAAATTAAGTTTTGCTCTGCAGCCGCTTCATTTCGTTTCATTGGTGCACAGAAGCTCTTTGTGCAGGTGTGCTCGCCGGCGGCCTCCCGCCGCCAGGCGTCGAGCCGGAGGGCAGCTGTCACCGAGGGTTCAACGGGGAGAGACTGTTGCACCTCAGGAGACAAATATTCATGGTACTGAGAATCCACAGCAGCAGGTCTTTGGGCCTAATTGGATTTCTTTAAGTCTGCTTACAGGCGTTGAAAAGCGGCAACTAAATATGCAAACGCGATACAAAGTGTTGCTGATAAGATCTTATCTTATCGGCCCCCCTTCATCCAAACTGTGTTCCTTCACGTTAAACTGTTTTCTGTCGGTTTTGGAGCTGTCAGGAGAACCGGCCTCTAAACTTAGACCTGGAAGCTTCAAAATAAGATCCATAATCTTCATGCAATCTGAATTTCAGCCCAGAATCCTGGAAATTACATCAGTTTGACATGATTTGACGCCTCGTGGTTTGTGTCCGGCATCGGTGCCGGCGCAGGAAGCAGCGTGACCCGTAGCTCCAAACGTTCTCGCTGCAGAATCCACCGCAAACACGGTTCTCGTCCCGCGATCGGCTCTCATGCATCCGCTGACTTTCTGCTCTTCTTGGTCCCAGAATCTGCAGCGAATCTAAAAAAACATGTAGACGGAGCTGCAAAAAGCATCCAGTTACAGCCAAAATAACCCAGTTTGCTTCCATGGTTTGCTTTTTTTTTCTGTGTTTAGGTGCAAAATTCTTACAAAAGCCACAATAAATTACTATTCTCGCCTGTCTACGTGCAAAAAAATAAAACTACTTGCTTTTTTAAATGATTCTAACCATCATTTAACAGCTATATTAGCATTATCCGTGCACTGATGCTAGCTAGTCACTGCACATTTGTGAATGTTCAATGAAAACATCCTATTTTTGTCCCTTAATTTCATATAATTCTGGTCGATTGTGAGATTTAATGATTCCATCACAGTCGAAAAATGTGGAAAACAAGCTAATCCCAGAAACGTCCCTATCTGTGGCCGTGGTCGCTTGTGAGAGCGGATTATTTTATAGACTCTTATCAGCGGCTGCTATCTGCTCTCTGAGGGCCTCACGTTTGGGAACCGGGTCACTGGAGGGTTACAGATTACAGACGGGGGTCTCTTTCTTGCAGAAATTGTCCGACTGCTGCTCCTTCGACCCCTCGAGCGTTGTTCGGCTCTAATCTGCTCCGTTTCATGGGAAGCCCGAGCTGAATGCGACCACTATCAGCTCCTGATTACCGAGGGGACGTATCGGAGTGACATTTCAGAGACGGCCAGGTTAGTCATACCTGGAGCTGTGTGTGTGTGTGTGTGTGTGTGTGTGTGTGTGTGTGAGCGCCACTGCGTCTTTGTAGCTGTGGCGACCGTATCAGGCGGCCGCTCGCCCTATCTTATCAAAGCCAACTGCTCTGAAGGGACCATTGTGTATGCAAGGTGACGAAGTGGCTCGGTTTCACACTCCATTGCCATTTCTTTAAGGCGTGTGTGTGCGTTCGGTTTCTCCAGAGGTCCATATATCGACGCTGTGCAATGAAATAAAGGGTAAAGTCATCGGGGAAAAATCATCGTGGCTCATTGATCGAAGCTAAACGCTGCTGCTGCTGCTGCTTCGAGCATCCTGGTTATCGAGCCCGATGGAAACCAAAAAGCAAATCCGTCGGTTGAGCAACAGACAGGAGGCCCGGCGACAGGGAAGGACCCAGATCAATACATTAACCGGTTGCTGTCCTGCAAAATGCACAGAAAAGGAACCACAGGGCTCGTCTTTAAAGTCATAAAATGGTCGAATCAGGAAAATATCTCGTCGCAAATTCATCTGAGGTGATTTTTTAAAAAAAGTCAACAACATCCAAAGTGTGACCGTCACACAAGAATTGGACATGAAATGTGTGACATCAGCCTAAATTGTGCAGCTTTTCGGATTTATTTCAAATCGAATAATTGTGTTTGAGCTCCTTTAGATGCTTTTACTTTGAAAAACTAACAAACTAGTTTTGGGATCTGATTGTTGAAGCTGTAAAGACGTTCAGTAAAAACGTTCTGCTGCTGCTGTCTCTTCCCCCGTTTCTGTGTTTTTTTTGCCGACCTGCTGCTAGTTTTTCTGGTGCCGGGTCAGAGGCAGGTCAGCAGTTTCTGGAGTGGCCCGGGTCTCGCTGGGCTTTGAGGCCCTCAGCGTGATCCGTCTGGTGTTTAGTCTAGCGGGCCGACATGTCGCACACCACGGTCATTTGGTCAGGAGCTGTTTCAACAAGGCGCTGCTATTCCTGCAGCAGCGCGTCGCCAGCCAGGTGATTGATCGGTTCCTAGAACACGGACGGATCTGGAAAAACACCGACCGACTGACCTGAGCACAGGTGGAGCTTACAGAATAACCAAACCTTGTGATTGTTGGGATTCTTATTTGTACGTAAGAGACGTTTTTTTTTTACGATTCTGTGAAATTTCTCACAAGTTCCTGGAAACAGTTGGATTCGTTTCCAGGAGGAGGACAAAGAAAACCAAACGTACCACTGCTCTCCCCGCATTTTTTGCCTTTTTAATAAGAAAAAATGAAACATGAATCATTTTAATCACATTTAAACCAACAGAAACGACAACAAAAACAAAAACAAAACAACAAAACAATATATTATATCGGCACACTTTCAAAGTTCGAAAAGAAACGTAGCTTCTTAAATAAAAGACTTTTTTTTCTTTCTTTTTTCTTTTTGTTTGTTAAATCTTACAATATGTTCCACAACATGTGACCTGAAACTTCTTCGGCGTGTCGGCGGAATCCTTCAGCAGATCGTCCAATATATTGATCTCTTATCAGATCAGCAGTCGTTTGAAGAAAAGGCACTTTTTTTTTTCTTTCTTTTTTTTTTTTTTGAAGGGTCATTCGACACCCTTGGACATTGTCACACTGATCCCATTGAGCCGATGCATTGACAGTGTAAAGGAGGGCGTTCCTAAGCATTGTTGTAACACACACGCGTGCAAACACACACACACACACACACACACTATCAGCCCACCTGGCCAGTGGGAGCTCCATAGTGCAAAGTACTGTATGTAAATCCTCCCATAGTGCATCTCTCCTCCCCTCCTCTGTTTTAGTAACTGCACCTCGCCGGCTGAAATGCATTCATGTAGGAAATGATTTGGGCCACGAGCAACAAGAAACACATCATCCTTTTTTTTTTTTTGCTTTTTACCACAGTTGCATTTTTTTTTCTTTGCTCCGGCGAGGACGAAATGTTTGTTTTTCCTTCTTCATATCAACCAAACTTCATGAGCTCCGCCTGATCTGACACAAGTGACGGAACCAAATGGGACAAATGACCGATTCTGCTGTAACACACACACACACACACACACACACACACACACACACACACACAGAGACACATAAAGAAAACATGAATTGAACTGTCTCCCACTGCAGTAACACCTGCCTGAAGCAGTAACCTGAAACTTCTTCTCTCCGTCTTCGGTTAAAAAAAAAAAAAAAAAGCCTCACATTTGGGTTGTAACTGGTCGACTATACGAGATATATTAAAATTTATTCCCTTCATAAATAAATGCACATAACCTTTCCCTCCCCCTCCCCTCCCCCGCCCACCCCCCCATCAACATTGCCTCTATTTACATTTTATACAAAGCTCATTGGGGATCTGACTTTTCACTTACGAACGTCTTCATTTTTTTTTTTTTCTGTCCTCCGTGTAACCAGCCAGTCTCAGAAAAATGTTCTGTGGTCCCCTCGAACACAGCGGCCATTTTAGATGTGAGTCTCTGCGAAGGCCGCTGGACGAGAGCCAGAGAGGGGAAAGAAAGAGGAAGATAGCTTAGGGTGTCCATTTTAGAAACAGGAGTCTCCATCTTGGCCCTGCGGACGGGTGTGAGCGTCCACATTAGGAGGCGTTGAGCACCGAGCGGCTGTACAGAGTTTGGTAATAAGCGCCGGAGTCCATCGCGGCCGGACCCGGGCTGTCGTAGATCTGCTTGGCCCCCACGGGAGAGCCGCTGGTGTAACTGTTGTAGGCCATCACCTGGTCCTGGTAGGACTTGAGGTCCATCTTCTGCTCGTTGGACATGAGGTTGGTGATGGAGAACGGGTGGTTGAAGTTGTAGTGGGGGTCCAGCGACTTGAGGGCGTCGCTCTGTAGGTCCATGTGCTGCTGCATGGCGCTGGGCAGGAGGTGGGAGCTGCCGGCGAGAGACTGGGAGTGGAGCAGCGGGTTGGAGGAGGAGGAGGTGCCGGAGAGGGACAAGGAGGACGGAGGGATGGAGGAGGAGGCGGAGGAGGAGGAGGGCGGCAGGGAGACGGGCGGGCTGTGGAGGTGTGAGGAGGACAGCGGAGGGCAGTCCAGTGGAACCAGGGCGCTCCTGGGGTGAGGCTGGTCGTCCGAGGAGCCCGGGTGGGAGTTGTCTGAGTGGGCGGAGTCGGCTCCCTCGGATCCCCCCGTGGGGCTCCGGTCCTCCACCAGGTGGTCGCTGTGGCCTCCTTTCCCTGAACCCCCCTCCTGGCTCTTGCCTCCCTTCTTCGCCATCTTGTCCTCGATCTTGAAGCGCTTCTGGCGCCGCAGGTAGCAGCCGTTCTCGAACATGTTGCCCGACTGCGGGTGCAGAGTCCAGTAGGAGCCTTTGCCCGGTTTGTCCGGCGAGCGAGCCACCTTCACGAAGCAGTCGTTGAAGGACAGCGAGTGGCGGATGGAGTTCTGCCAACGCTGCTGGTTCTCGCGGTAGTAGGGGAACAGGTCCATGATCCACTGGTAGATCTCGTTCAGGGTGAGCATCTTGCTGCCGCTCTGCTGGATGGCCATGGTGATGAGGGAGATGTAGGAGTACGGCGGCTTGGCGTGGGTCAGGGAGCGGCGGTAGGGCTTCGGGGGGATCTCCTTGGGGCCGGCCCGGCTCAGGGTGGCGGTGGAGGGGTACCCCAGCTGGCCCATGGACTGGCCCATGTTCTGGTAGTGGGACAAAGAGCCCAGCGAGCCCGGAGCGGCGGGGCCCAGCTGGGTTAGAGAGCCCGAGCTAAGGGAAGAGGCCACCGGGGAGAGCGACATGTGGCCCGGCCCGGAGCCCATGGAGGCCAGAGGGGAGCTGCTGAGGCTGGAGCTGGGGTACGCCATGTTCATGCCGGCGGGGGAGGCGGTGGCCGGGTTCAGGTTGATGTAGCTGTTGATGGTTCCCATGGAGCCCATGGAGCCCAGACCAGAGTTCATGGTGCTGGGAGAGGAATACATCTGCAGGAGGAGCACAACAACATCTGCTTAGTCACAAGAAAACACCAGAAAGGTTTAAAGCAACAAAACTAAAAATCCCTCAACTCGTTCTGACCTGAAGGTTTTTGTTTGTTTGTTTGTTTGTTTGTAAACAAACAACAGGAAAGATTCTGCTGTAATTAACTGATTGAATTTGAATTTCTTGAGCAGAACGGCTGTGAAATGTGGAAGGAAAGCGGTTCGAGTCTCCCATTTAAAACGCGCCTCCTTATCAATGCACAATGAAGCTCTCAGTGAGCGGGCAGCAGTCATGGATTTCACACGGAGATGTTAACCTGAAAATGCGTAAAAAGCGCGTCATGGTGCCTCTCAGCTCAGACGGCCTCCTCCTCTGCTGCCATGGGAAAAAAAACCTGTTGTTCTCTATTTAAGTCTAAATCCTTTTACTGTTTATAATCTAATATTTAATAAAGACGATGCGAATAAAGCGAATGTGAATCCTAAAAGCCTGTTTAGTGTTTAACCTGAGAGAACCTAAATCTGCGGAGGATGAAAGGTCTCTCAGGCCGCTGCTGATTGTTGGTTAAATATTATCAGACTCTCCGTAATTTCATCAGGTCGAGCTGAGGTGAGAAGTGAAGCTGCTGATGGAATTAAGTCTAATTGAATTAGTGAGCAGCAGAATGAAGTTTCATTTACACCTGAATCGTTGTCGACACTTGAGCGGCTGCGGAGACACAAAAGGAGAAGAGGAAGGCCTGCTGATGACACCATTTCTTCTTTTGCGAAAATCCCTCGTAATTCTTTAATTAAAATTATTCGGCTACGTGTTTAAAAATCCAATTAAATATTTAAAATCGAAGAAGCCTTTTTATTTTTATTTTTTGTAGTAAAAAAGGCCAAAGGTTGCTGCTTTTTTCTTTCTAGTTTTTTTGAGAGGGATATTATTTCAAAATAATATAAGAACTAATAAGATTTTAACAGAAGAAAATTTGAGAATAAAAAGATATTTTTGCACTTTGGGGGATTTTCTCACTTTGGAGTTTTTATATTCCTGCTGAAGATGTAAAGTGTTCATGTTAGACTGACTTATTTTAATCTTTACTATAATATTTCTACATCATCTTAAGGTTTTGGTGTTAAAAATATCTTTCTGTAATATTAGTTTATAATCCTCTAAAGGTTTACAGCTGTTTTTTATCTGCTGACACGGTGCGCAAAAGGAATTCTCTCATCGTCCGCTCTGACAAACCCCAAAACTTATCCACAGTTTACAACACGAAATAAATAAATAAAAAACAGGACTTAATTTAATTTTCTATCTGTTAATTCTCTTTACCTCGCTGGCCTCGCTGTAGAAAGTATTCCACTCTGGTAGATCATGCGCTTCCATCTTCACAGAACTCAACATCCCCAACACGCGTCTCTGGAGGAGAAGGATTTATCTCTGACCGGATTTTCTTTGTTTTAAAAATATCGAGAGAGAAAAAAGAAAAAAAAGGAAAGAAAATAAAATCCTCCGTAAAGGTGCCTCGGGTGGTTCTCGAGGGGAAGAATCCAAACAGAAAGGTGTCTCCTTTTCGCCGGGAAAGATGGAGAAAAATTTTAGAGTCGAAAAAAAAGAAGCGTAAAAGTCTTCGGAGAGTGATGTGGCGCTGCGCTCCTGGGAAGGAAAAAGTTCAGTCAGGTTTTCTTATTTGTCAGTCATCCATTGTTTCGTTGCTTTAATCAGCAGCTGGACAGACGCTCACTTCTTCTTCTTCTTCTTCTCCTTCTTGTGGCCAGTTTTTTTTTTCTTTTTTTTCACTTTTTTCTTTTTTTCTTTTCTGTCCAGCAGGGCCTTTGGGACACAGCAGACGTGTAGGTGTAGCGCGCAAATACAGAAGAAAAACCTGGACGTCCTCTCTTTATAAGGTGCTGCCGGGTCCCGCCCCGCTGCTCACATTTGAATACCGTGTTAGGATCCAGGAAGGGCCCCGCGAAAAGGCCGATGTGGCCCCCTGGCGTGCTGTATATTGGCCCGGCGGCTGCACCGGGGCCACCCGGACGACTGTCTCCCAGAAACAAAGCTAAGCCCACACACACACACACACACACACACACACACACACACACACACACACACACACACACGCACATATATTTTGGTACGTATGGCAGTGAAGCAGAGAGAGCAGAGGTGTTGATGACGAAAAGTTAATTATCAATCAGGTTTCTAATCTGCAGCTGTGACACAAAATGTTTGTTCTATAAAACCATCCTTTGTTTTTCTAATTATACCTCATTGGTGCAGTTTATTTGGTAATAAATGGTAGTAAACACATTTCACTTCAACGAGAAACATTTAATTTTCTTAATAACAGATATCAGACAACTTAAACTGGAGTATGAAGGCAGTTTTTTGACGCGTGTGGGGGTCGTGGAAGTCGTTAATTCCTCTGGCTATCACTTCTCAGGGGCTCTACGGCCTTTAACACGTTCTGTGAATTTTAGTAACCGCCAAACCTTTTGAGATCTTTGGTCTTGATAGTCAAATATCGTCACGACAGTCATGCAAAAATCACGACTATTAGGCAAATATTTGGCAAATCAAACGAAAAATATCAGAACATCAGAGATCCTAGTCGGTGACATCACAGAACAGAAAACCTTCCTCAAGTTCCCAGAGTCAGTAAAACAGACCTTTGCACCACCAGCAGGTAACTTGAGGCCAACTTCAAGTTACCCGCCCTAGTAAATTACGTGCGTAAAAGTCGCGCGTAAATTGTGCGTAAAAGTCAGATTTTTCCAGTGTGGTTACATTGAAACGGCAGGTGCGCTCAATCTGTGATTGTGTGCGTCTGATTTCGGCTAAATGCGACAGACCTCCTCTCCGTGAGAACTTCTTGGAGAACTTCTCTTCAGAGGAACACAATAAATAATGTAATCCCGGCGTAATGCGCAGGGCCGGACTCCTGTGTGGCGGAATACACATCAGGCCTGGGTGCAGACGGAGGCCTGTGAATGTCAATGCCTCTGCCTAATGGCCAGTCAATGGAGATGTAATTGATGCGCAGGCGGGAGGTCGACGGGATTAGACTGTGAGAAAAAAGATCAGGAAGGACGCAGCTGCACCAAAAACACGCACAAGACTCGATTCATTGTCAGAAAGTTTTGTAGGAAACGCATCTAAAGTTTCTGATTATTTTTGATGGATGTCTGAGGGGCTCACCTGAAGGCCGCGCTGCCTCCACGGAAGCAGGAGAGGCTGATTTTCTCCGCATTCATGAAGCTGTGCACGTTTTCACCTGTAAGGACTCGGCGATTATCACCTGTTTGCAAAACGCCGTCGAATCGATTAACACGAGGAAAGAGCTAACACCTCCGCGTCTGTAATGATGTAATTAAGCATGAAAGAGATGCGTTGTTACATGATGTGGATAAAAAAAAAAGAAAAGAAAATGCCAGTGGACCAAATGTTGATCTTAGAACTCAACTGATATGGAAAAAAAATCAACCAAATATTGAATAAAGGGGCCTGAAGTGCGGTTTTACGCATTAATGTGGTGTGTAAAATGTAAAAATGTAAAAATGTGGTGGACACAATCAGGTTCCAGATATTTTCAGCAGCAACCATCTCATGGGAATAAACATGGAGGCCTTTAGGGCTACATCTCCTCCAGCAGGTTGCATTTCACTCTTGTTTGCCCACGTTGACAGCAGAAGTCTGCAAATATGGAACATTACGCCTGTTTTGGCTGACAAATGCGTAAAACTGTGGCGCTCCACTGTGTTGTCGCTTCTGAGTCACTATACTGAGGAGAAAAAAATGCTCTCAAAAGTCCAAACACATCCTGTTTTATTCACCAGATGTTGCGCCTCCACACACTTGCTGCTGCTGCTGCTGCTGTATCTTTGTATCTTTGACGCATCAGCGTCTTTTAATAAACATCCCAGATCAGTGGAACCTCTCCAACCTCTCAGAAGCCTCCCCTCCTTTCTCTCCCTCTCCTCCTCTTTCTCTCTCTGCGGGCTGTTTTTCATGCCAATGGAGCCTCCATCGTCCATTAACACCTCTATAATTGGTTTAACAATAGCGGTAATGAGCTGACACTAATGGAGGAAACGACACATCGGCCTGCCGGGAGCGCGACGGCCGCCTGGAATAATTAACCTCCTTCTTCTTCTGAGAGGCTTCAGCGTCTCTCCAGCTGACATTAAAGTCCAAAACTGGAGGAAAAACGAATGCGAGTGCAGCTGAGAGTTCACCTGTGTGGCTCAGCAGAAACTGAGGCTCTTAGTTATAGCTTTGCCTGAAAAATCCAGCGTCCACTCATGTACTTACCTGGAAAGCATCTGATAGAGGGTCATACTCACTTGTTCCTGCAGCCGCTGGTTCTTCAGGCAACTCTGAAGTCAACAGCGCCCCCTTGTGGCCTGTAGAAACAGTTACACCACCTGCTTTTGTTTTACTTTTTATGACATGTTCTGGGCTTTTTTCTGCATCAGTTTATGTTGGAAGTCTTTTTCGGAGAACACTTCGTTCAGGCACAAGGAGTCAGTAAAGTATGGATTAAAGGACTTCTTTTGTGCATCCCTCTTGAAATTCATGCTCTTGATATTTGAAACTTGTGAGCTGGGATGCTAAAAAAAAAAAAATAATAAAAATGAGGTTTTGTACGAGGCTGAACAGCAAGTCTTAGTCCAGATACAGATAACGCACTTTAAGAAAGAAAAAAAGAAGAAGAAAACATTGCCTCTGACACGACTTCAAACAGTTGCATCTGCACCAGCTGCACCTTTTGGGACTCTTGTGAACATTTTCATTCCTGGTTGCATTTTAACTGAACAGGCTTTTAACTGAAGTTGAGTCAGACTGGACCCTAGTTTTACAATTTTGTTTTAATAATTTAAAATGGTAATTAGCTGTATCACTGACAAAACATGCAGGTTAGCCTCAAACTTAGCCACATTTTCAGCTTCCCAGCTCACAAATTCCAACAACTAAGCATTCATTTCACTAAAGGATGCAAGAAAGGAGCAAAGTAGTTTTATTTGTTTCTCTGTACATAAATCGGTGGTTAGCACTGTCGCCTCGCAGCTAGAAGGTCACCGGTTCACGTCCCGGTGAGGACACCCAGGATCTTTCTGCGTGGAGTCTCCATGTTCTCCCCGTGCAGCGTGGGTTCTCTCCGGGTTCTCCGGCTTCCTCCCACACAGTCCAAAAACATGTTGAGGTTAATTGGTGATTGTAAATTGTCCGTAGGTGTGAATGTGAGTGTGCTTGGTTGTCTGTCTCTAAGTGTAGCCCTGTGATAGACTGGTGACCTGTCCAGCGGTGTATAGATAACGGATGGATGGACATAAACAGAAAGATTTCCACCATAAGCTGACGCCGATAAAAGCCAAACTGGTGCATTAAAAAATCCCCAGAACGCAGGAAACTAAATCTGCTTCATGCAAATATATTAAAAATAAAACCAAACCTGGCTGATAGAGCAGGGAGCACGCTTTCCTGGACACTACACGTATGAAGCATTTACATGCAGTTAAGAAATTAAACATTAAACAGGGTTTTCCCAGTTTAAAGCTATTTTCGGGCGTCCCACAGAAGAGGTTTCAGGAAGCACTGAAGCTCCAAAGTGATAAGAAGTGGGATCGAAAGCTTGTTTAGTTAATGTGAGGTTCATTTAGAGGTTTCTGTGCTCATCAAATGATCAGAGATGGTGACGGAGGCTCGTCGCCGTCGCTGTCCGTAGAGAGATCGTCGCCAAAAAGAAGCCGGTGAAATGTTTTCTGCTCTTCAGCTGCACAGAGAAGCAGGAGTTTAAAAACAAGTCTGTGTACACGGTGACGGGTTGTTTTAAAAGGCAGGAATGTAGTTTTGGTAGAGAAACGTTAAACACAGTCAGATATAATGACGAGCTCATAAAATCAATCTCTGGTCTGTGTTTAGAGAATCAGCCGGATGAGAGAGAGAGAGAGAGAGAAGATCATCTGGGTGGTTAAACCTCCCGAAATAAAACATCAGAACAAGTACGAGTTTCCATCCCATTTATTTCCTGGTGTTTATTTTGTACATGAAGCTGCGATAAAACCAACAGATCTACAAAAAAAAAAAAAAAAGGGTGACATAAATGAAAACTGGATGTAGAGAGGAGGGAGAAAACAGGTTTCAAAAAGGCTTCGGGTAAAAGCAAGGAGAAGCCGTGTGACGGCGGCGGCGGAGGGGTAACAGATTCAGGTTAATCATTGACGGGACGATAAAGAAGCCATTGCACTCCTACTTCCCCTGAGGTTCCCAGACACGCACACAGATGGTAAACATTTTAAAAAGGCACTTAACAAGGGATTGCATGACGTATCAGTGCATATTATACTTTAAACTCCACTCCTTCAAAGACGTTTCTCTACCTGATGTTCTCTTATTATCCTTACTCAGGCATCTGCTGAACACCACGGCCTGCAATAATCATCCCAGAAGAACAGCAGAGCACACGATGGAGGAAACAGGCCGCTCCAGATCTGGCCAAGAAGTAATGCGGTTTCTTTTTTTTTCTTTTCCATAAAACATTTACATCCAGTTTGGGCATAAAATCACCTTTGGTTTGTCTGTGCTTGTGCACCGATGAGTACATAAAGAGAGAATCCCCCCAAAAACAAAGCTGTAGCGTCGGATTGTTCGCTTTAGGAACATTAAATCCCTGAACTTTCTATCGAGCAAATAAAAATCTTTAAAAGTAGGATGACATATGTTAGATAGACAGAGCAAACATTTCTGCTTTTAGGTGGATTCTTACTTTAGGAAAACAAAAGGTTTAAAGAAATGATATTGTTGTTTTTTTTAATTACATATGTCAAACTGTTGCATATACTATGACTAAGGATTGCACGTACATACTATTACAGTTCTTTACAGTATATAACATTTAACATTCTAGTATAAAATATAGTCCTAGGCCTATCAATAGATATCTTTTCATATACATTCGGGGTAAAAGCGTAGGCTGGGCTGGATCTGGTATGAAAGCAACACTTAAATACGCTCGAGTCTGTGGTGGCCGGTCGACGCTCTGACGGATCGACTCCACGGCGAACACGCTCCGTTCTCTGAATCAGCTTCTGTTTGATTTTAAAGCTGACATTAAAAAATAAAAAATAAAATAAAACAACAGATGCGCAGAGAAACGTCTACTTACTGGCGTTCTGTCCACATTTCAGGTCGGTTTAAAGGAGAATTTTTAAAGTTATTTAAAAAAAAAGGAAAAAATCTGTGCGGCGCAGATTCAGTCACGAAACAATAAATCTGTATTTCAAAGTGAAGGTCGAATTCAAGCTCGCTGGTCCTGAAAACGTCGAGAACTTCAGCCGAGACGATTAAGTTAAGGTCTGAGCCAACAGCCAACAAGAACAACAACTGTGGCTTCTGTCTTCGTACATATTTACCATTTGTGTTTGACTTTTTTTAACATACTGACAATAAACACTGAACCGTGGCTACTCCTCTCTGTGAGTTTTACAAAGATTATTAGAAACAATAAAGGCCTGTTAACCCTTCCAGCAGTTTCTCTTTTTTACTCACTGTGGGCTCGTGTTTCACAGCAACACAAAGTCCTGCACCTCTGTGAAAGCAGCACCACAGGGCTGGAAGTAGAGAGAACTCAAACATGTCTCCTGTGCAGTATGACACAGTTAGAATGCCATAAATCACCCAAAAAAAAAAAGTTAAGGATAACATTTCCTCGACTATTCATTTTCCACAAAAATGAAAAAAACTGGACTTAACACACCCACCCACAGGTGTCACCAATACTGTGTTTTTTTAATCTGTTTTAAATCTCGTCTCCTGTCTGCTCGGTGTAAACACAGCCTGCAGTTCAGCTTAGATCAACTGAAACGTCCCTGTTTGCTGATTGCTGTCGACTATTTTTTAAATCGGGCATGTAGAATAAAGGGATTTTAATGAAATGTCACGATTTTAAGTTTAGATTTGGTTACGTTTACGAGCAGATGAGACACATTTCATTCATCGACAGTCGTAAAGTTGAAAATCTGACAGATCTTTCTGTTTTTACAGTTTTTGGCTCGAACAAATGGTGCAATTTCTGTGATTTTACAAAACAAAACAAACCTTTTAAAGCCACCGGTGGATTTTTTGGGGATTCAGAGGGTTAATACCACATGAACACTCTTGCAGTCTCGTGTTTTGTGAAGGACTTTCATGTGATTAAAACATTTAAATTATTCTGATTGTGTTTGATGAACATTTGTGCAGCTCCAGCCCCTAACGTAGCACTGATCACCGTTTTAACAAACACCACTAACTCTGCTGAAGTAGCCACAGTTCAGCTGCTGATCGGTCCTCAACATCTGACAGCACATCAGTACTTGTGCTTTCATTAGCCACCGTCTCAGGACCGTTCTGTTGAAGGTTGGTTCCCAGTGCACACAATGCACCGCTGTGATTAATGAAATTTAACCTCAAGTTCTCATCACATCAAAACTACAGAACTTAAAAGTTGGCAAAGTCAGTCATTGCTTTAAAAAAACAAAATAAAAACAAACAAATAATGGTGCTTTGTGAAGGCAGTCTTTGTAGCTTTTGTCAGATATCTGCTGAAGTCTGATGATGAAACTGGTTTGTGAGTCGGTGGAGTTAAGACCTGGGTCATGGAGGTTTTCTGATTGGTGGGTCGCTGTGTTGTTCCTCTCAGCAGTCCAGTGCAGACATCTCCTTCCGGTGTGGGATACGATTCTGCGGCGACAAAGAGCAGACAAATAAACATGGACTTCTCGCTGTATACACTAATCAAAGCTGTTTTGTGTCTTGTTTTTTTACATTTGTTATTCCGATGTGCTTAAAACAAAAAGCCTCAATAATACATGGAATTAATAAATCTGTCCAAAAATAACTGATAAAATAAAAAGTAGAAACGTGTGATTGTGTATTTCACAGATAATTACAAACATTATCCAGGTTCAGAACTGTTGCTGTTGTCATATGGAACTCAGTAAAACAACGTCTCACTTGAAGATGGAGCGACCCGTAAAGCTTTCATCTAAAAATATCTGAGTTTACCAAACGCTGCCAGACTTCACGCTATGATGAGTCAGGTGTCGGTGAACTTGCCTGTTGCTGTGTTGGGTCCTCGTTTCCGTGGAAATCACCATCACGTCTCCCTCTCTTTCTTGACAGTGACGTCTCCGCTTCCAGCTCCGGGTCCGCTTCCAGCTGCTGCTGCTGCTGAAGCTGCTGGTCCTCCTCCGCTACCTGCCCCTGATGTGGCTGGAGCTCCCGGCCCTGTGCCGGCTCCAGGTGCAGCAGCTGATGCAGCTCCTGCTCCTGCTCCCGCTCCACCGGTACCCAGTATGGTGGAGACTTCTCCCTGCATGAAGGCCCACGGGGGGCTGTTGGGAGAGTTATCCAATGGACAGCGCTCTCCGCTGGGGCAGTAGACCTCCCCGTCACCCCGCCGACTCTGGATGTACACTCTGGTGCAGGGGAAGCAGAACCTAGGATGGAGGAGGTTAAGACGCACAACAATTAGTGGTTGTTTTTTAAGTCTGTAAAACTAATGTTACCTTACATTGATCTGGCTAACAGCTCAGTTTTATTGACTGAAACATCATTCTATTTACGCTACGATGCTACATTAACAAGACAAAAAGAAATGTCAACACACAAACCTATGGCCCGGCACTGATGGACACTGAACAAAGTGTGTGTCTTCGAGTCTCTCGTGACACAAGGTGCAGGACAGAGTGTTTCCAGTTGAATGGGTGCTGTTGGCAGACGCTGATCCCAGCTCAGAGGCACCGCTGTGGGGCAACGCTGCAGCGGTGGTGGCAGCCTCTGCTGAGGTGGTGGATCCCAGGGGCTCCCCTCCAGATCTGGAGGTGAGGGGGCGCGGCTGCCTGGCTGGAGATGATGCCGGCTTGGGGCTGGTCTGGCTCACACCTCCGGCCATGGAGAAGGACGAAGAAGCCAGACTTGTGCTCTTGCTGGTGCTGCTTCCAGCCGCGGCCGTGTGGGCTTGGGTCTGGATCTTGGGCTGGTTCTGGGACGAACTGAGCTCCCGCTCCAGCTCTGGAGTGATAAAGGGTGATATGCCCATCCCCAGACCCAGCTGTCTGCGGCTCATCTCGGCCAGCACCGGCGCGGGGAAGATCATGGGAGTGCTCATGGGGGCTGTCCTGGCGGTCAGACCCGCCGGCATGCCCGCAAGCAGCCCGTGAGGAATCCCTGCAATGCTCTGAGTCACTAGACTAGGGGGGATGGCGGCGCCCAGCATGGGTCTCCGGCTGCCGCTGGGGCTCTGCCGGTTCACCTCTGGAGGCGGCTGGCCGTCCCGGTGCAGCCCGTTAGGCGGCACACGAATAGCTGACCCGGTGTTTTCTCCTCTTCCTCCCCGGTCGAAGCGGTCGCTGTGCGGCCTGCCCCCGTCCGCCGCCGCCTCTCCCCGGGCCGACGTGCCGTGTTTGTTGGGTGAGGGACCGGGCGACCTGACGTTCCCGTCCTGCATGCCGTGAGTCCGCTTCAGCTGTCGGGCGCTCGCTATTAGGAATTCAATCTGATTCGCTCCCTCGTAGTTCACGCAGCCCCGGCAGACCACCTCGCTGAAGTCCCACACCACAGTCCACGGCATCTTTGGCAGGTCGCACAGGTAGCACCACTGGCGCCTGGAGGAGGAGGAGGGGGACGACATGGCTGGCTGGCCGCCTTGCGAGCTAACCTGAGCGGGTTCAAAGCGCCAGCTAGCAGGCTAACAGGCTAGCACAGGTTAGCTGCGTTAACCTATTTAGCTTTGACAGGTGCACGCCCTCTCTTCGCTGCCGACTTTCCGCCTTAACGGGCCTCACAGCGCTTTAAAACAACGTTAAACATCCTAAAAATGTAAAATTAGCTCAAACTTTGGGGTTGTTTTCGCTCTTTTTTCATATATTAGTTTTGTTTACCCACTTCGGCCTACTCTTCTCTGCTGTCAACTGCTTCTCCGACGGACGCTGGGACGTTACGTAACCATGCGAGGGGAATTGTGGGTGTTGTAGTTTCCTCACGCGGTGCTGTGAACGCAAACCTACGCACGGAGCCCGTTCGTGGAACTACAGCCGAAAGTGGCACGGAAGTGAAGTAATTTAAGGTCGCAGTTCACTTTGTGTCAACACATGTGCGTCCTCCGCAGCCATGCGTTTTTAGGGAAGAAAACTTTTATTTGTTGTAGTTTGCGGGTATTTTAAAACGCAAAAATGCCAAAAGACATTTCATCTTCATCGAGCGAAGATGAGGCGGACAGTCCTGCGACGGGATCAGCGGCAAAGCAGAGAGAAGCCGGTGAGTTCACACGATGTTGGTGTAATAATGGAGGTTTTTCAGCTAGTTTGGAATTAACACCTTTATTTTTTAATATGTGACTCATTAAAACAGAAAACAGCCGCGTGTAACCTGTGCATTTTAGTAACATGTTAAGTAGCTTGACTCAACAGTATATTGTGTATTTTGTAATTGATTCGGTTGTAATCCAGTTTTAAAGGCACGTTTTTAGGGTTTTGGGGGAATTAATCTAGCCCAGAAATCTTTAGATTTTAACCTGATGAGTGCATCACCAGAGTAAAATGAGTATAAAATGTGAGAAGCTGTGCTGTAGGCAATGTAAAACCATCCCACTGTCTTTTTACTCTTAGTCACAGGGATTACACAGTGAGATTTACAAAGCTGTATTAGTAAAGGTGTGTCTTGGAAGTACTCACCATGCATTCAATTTAATAGTGTATTTGGCCATTTGAACCCCTTCTGGACTTTTTAAGTAGAAGAGATGAAGGTGTTGGTAAGAGGAAAGAGTTCATATCCCAAATACATATAATAATAACATTAATTAAACTTAATCTGCTAACTGTGTAGCTCACAAAAAACACTGAAATTTATGTCTATGGCATAATGATAGCTTATCTATCTGCTTATAGCGATTTACAGTTTTTTAAAAAATGTGTTTTTATTGCTCGTCTGCTGTTTGTTACTAATTTATGGTGGTTGAATTAATGATTATTTAGCCCACGTTCTACATATAGTTAAGAGAGAAACCAAACAAATAATATTTTAGAATTTAGGATGTTGCCTTAGACACCACATAATAAACCCATCCCAGTATGACATTGTAGGTCATTAAAATATCCGTTTCAAATCATAACTTGATGGAACTACAGCAGTTGTTTCACACATAAACCACATATAAATGAGATGATACTGAAAGTCCATCCAGTGATTGCTGCCCAGATGTCGTTTTTAATTCCTCGAGGGTTATTGTATTTCTGCTGAAATAATGCAGGTGTGTTGTTTGGCTCCACAGTGTCGAAGACCACCAGGTACCAGTGTCCCGCCGACTTTGTGTCTTTCAGCCACGTGCCGTGCAGCAGCACTCTGACCGACAGCCTGAAGAGCAGCAACAACGAGCTGTGGCTCATTAAGGCTCCTGCCTCCTTTAACCCGGAGTGGTGCGTACGAGCAGACATCTTTTTGTCTCCTTCTGTTGTCTCTCATGCACGGTGGAGCTTTTACAAGAGCTGGTTCAGAAATACATTTTGAGATACTTTAATTTATTACTTAATTTGCATATGTGTCAGTCGACTAAGCAGCCTTTAGTCCTCAACAAATCCACAGTAAAATTCCTCCAGATTCAAAGTGTGTAAAGCATTTTCAGATACTAATACAACAGCAGCACCAGTTCCAGACTTTGTAACCAGAGTGTGAACACAGCAGACCGCTAGAGTCTCACCTTTTCTGTCGTCTGTGAGAACAGACTTGTTGAACCACTGCATGCTGCAAATACTTTCAAACTGTAAGTCTTTGAGTAAGTAAATAAAGGTGATGGAGGTGGTTTGCTGCTTCCAGATCACCTCTGAACCTGAATAGTATAATAAATATATGAAATAAATGAAGTCAAACCAGACAGGTTAGAATAGCAGCACCAGAAGAGTCATCAAGTCAGTGACATAAGTCAGATTTATTGGTCAAGAATGTGTAAACAAACAAGGAATGTGACTCAGGTTTTTCTTTGCTCTTGAAATACTGAAAAAATTATATTTAAACAAGACAGACTGATTAAATGAAGGAAAATAGAGCTACAGATGTGTGTCAAAAGAACTGAACCAAAGCTTTAGTGCGAGTTATGAAGAGTCCAACATTACAGGAATAAACGCTGGTATTTACAATAAATAAGGGTTATTGGCACTTATGCTACTTATACAAAGTGATAAGTACAAGTACAGTATAAGAATACTTATACTAAGTGGGTGGACGATAGTGAAACAGAGCTGGAATTAATATGTTCATGGATGGAAGGCGGGTCAACCCCCACTGATCTACTCTCTAGTCCTGACTGTCTGCTACATGTGCGATAGCATTTATCCATGTAAAGCCGGCTAACGTTAGATGATATTAACCATTAAAAGCATCTGATCAGACCCAAGTTAGGTTCGACTGTAGTAGCAGAAAGAGTTTTAACCCTGTAAAGGCTGAAGCACGCACAGAAAATGATTATTTTTTCTTCAAAAGTGTGTTTATTGAACCTTCTTACAATAATTATGATTATTTTTAATATTAACTTTCAACATATGAGTTTTAATTTGTGTTATTTTTGCTACATCTTGCATTTTTGGTGCATGTTAAATGTTATATATTGTAAAGTCGAACCCAAGACCACTGCGTCAGGGAACTACAGCCCCTGTTTATGGGTCGCCTTCAACTAGGTGAGCTGTAGGGGCATACATCAGGTTCTAAAGGGGAAAAAAATATCACAGTGATGATGTAGAGGTGGGCTGCAAGGTGGAGCGGTGGTTAGGATGCAAGAAAGGAGCAAAGTAGTTTTATTTATTTAAAAAATACAGCTCACTTTACTTATGTGACTGAATTTAGAGTTTCTCTGTACATAAATCGGTGGTGAGCATCGTTGCCTCGCCGGTCGCTGGTTCGCGTCCCGGTGAGGACACCCGGGATCTTTCTGCATGGAGTCTCCATGTTCTCCCCGTGCAGCGTGGGTTCTCTCCGGGTTCTCCGGCTTCCTCCCACAGTCCAAAAACATGTTGAGGTTAATTGGTGATTCTAAATTGTCTGTAGGTGTGAATGTGAGTGTGCTTGGTTGTCTGTCTCTAAGTGTAGCCCTGTGATAGACTGGTTACCTGTCCAGGTGAACCTGCCTTCACCCTGAGTCAGCTGGGATAGACTCCAGCCCCCCATGACCCTAGTGAGGACTAAGGTGTATAGATGATGGATGGATGAGGTCTCAAAAACTCTTGAATCAAATGTGATACTCTTGGCGTTGCAGGGTTAAGTGAGCAGCCGTGTGTGTTTTTGCTAATAAATTTAAATTATCAATTTAAAGTGAGGAAAAGTGTCTTTGAACTGATGGTGTATGATTTTAAATAATGCAGCACTTTATCTGACAGCATCAGAGATCAGAGCCTCAGCATGAAGCCAGCAGGTGGAGCTGCACATGAACGTACTGGAACTCAACGGCTGTAAACTTCTGTAGTTGACTTTCCCAGCGCTGCCTAACCTCGCTTGTCCTCCTTCCCTCCAGTTTCAGTGGCATCAAGGTGCCTCTCTCAGGCCTCCAGACCCTGAAGGTTCCCGCCGCCGCGGGTGGAGCGAAGACGGCGAGTGGGCAGCAGATCTACAGCGTGCTGGCGTCCAACCAGGGCACCGCGGAGCTCCACCTGCTCACCAGCGATAAGCGCTCGTCGGACTGCATGGTGTTCGGTCCCACGTTTGCCGGCCTGCTGAACGTGTGCGAGAGCTTCGGGGACAGCAGCAGAAACCAAATCCCTCAGGTCATCCCCGCCGCTCCGGCTCCCTCCATCCCGCCAGGGCTCAAGCAGCGATTCCACCCGTTTGGCAGCAAAACCCCGACGCTGACCGCAGAGGACGAGGCGGACGGAGCTGCCTTCGGGCCCTCGTCCTCAACGCTGAAAAGATCCGTAGAAGAAGCAGGTCAGGAGGAAGAGGAGGAGGAGGAGGAAGGGAGGAAAAAGAAGAAGAAGAAAAAGAAAGACAAGCGGATGAAGCTGGAGGAGGAAGCGGTGAAAGTGAAAGAGGAACCTGCGGCTGAAATTCAGGAACAAGCCGTCCAGGAGGAGAAGAGGAAGAAGAAGAAGAAAAAGAAGGACAGGGAGCGACAGGAGGAGGAGGAGGAGGAGCCCGGCGTGGAGGTGAAGGTGGAGGAAGAGGTGACTGTGAAATGTGAACCGATGGACGCTTCGTACGGCGACGCAGAGGAAAGTTCAGGAAAGAAGAAGAAAAAGAAGAAGAAAAGCAAATCTGGCGACGACTAGTCTGATGTCACTCCTCTGCCTGATGCTTGGTTCTATTTTCTGTTTATTTCTGACCTCATGAGTCTGCGTGGGAGACGGTTTACAACTAATTTACTCCAGCTCATTGATGGATTGCATAATGCAAGACTTTGGCAGGACGTCGTGTTCAGCGAAAAAAAAAAGAACACATCATGAATCAATTGAACAGTGAGATGAATTATAACGTGGATTCATTCCAGCATCCTTAAGGCCAATGTTCCTTTAATTTTGAGCTCAGAAAGTGATAGTTTTCCACACAAAGAATGCGTGCAGCCGCAGGCAGCAGTGACTACACCAGGAACAGGAGCATCCATAGGCGCTGAGCTTCTGCGTTTTCTTCTGCCAGTGTCTGTCAAGTTGTGGAGGATTTTTATAGGATTATTCTCTCCACTCTGGTGCTGCGTTTATTTACACGACCGGCATCGGTGGTTTGGCAGCAGGTTCAGAAAAAAACAGAGTCGATGTATAAAAGACAGAATAACGAGCCGGTGTCACGTAAGATTTATCGAACGGTCCGAATTCGGAGGTCGTGCTCGTGTGCAGGAGAACACATGGTACGAAATAAACTCTGAAAGTGATTAAAGGAGGAGAAATGAAAATGAAAAAAACCTGTTTGTCCTGCCGTTGGCCCTTCGCAAAAGTGTACAGCAACATTTTCCTCTCATGCCCTGTCAGGAGCGCTGATTTCATCCAGAAGGAATGAAACTTGAATTTGTGTCGTAACTCCGACCGCGGCTTTTAAATCGTGGAACAACAAGAAAGTTCCCGATTTGCGGAGCAGCTCTCTGAGGACGTCGGGCGCGAGTGTCCGATAAACTCTTCTGTGCACGATTGTTTTGTGAATGAAGAGCGTGTTATATCTGAAACAGTAATAAAATTGTTCATTTGGTACAAAGCTGTTATTTTCTCTCGGCTGTGGAAAACATTTCTTGTGCGGATCAACTCAAACGGCTCTTTTCATCTCTCATTGTGGTGCCACTTTGATTCTTATTGACTTTTAGTTTGTCTTCTCGTGTTTTATTGCATTTTATTTTGGTCGTGCGGCACTTTGCTTCAAGTCTTGCTTTTAAATGTTCTGCTTAAATAAGTTTGACTTTACCAACGAGCGAATTCCAAGCGCCACATCCTAATCGGTGGAGAAAACTCCAGATGTGTAGAACGTATCGCCTCCTGAATGGATCACTGAGATTTATCTTTACCTGCAGCTTTAAGTGACAGTCGGAGGCTTTAAGTGGGTTCAGGCTGAGCTTCTGTTTGTGTTGCATTAATTGCCACTGAAGTATTTTGGCATTAGCTAGCTGTTTGAGTGTCTGTATATTGCATACAGTCGTCCTCAGATGTATTCATAGCCTCCCATTGAAGAAGGAAAGAAACAGCAGTCAATGAAATAAGTTGAAATTAACAAAAGTAATAATGAATAAAAATATAATGAACATCATGACGTTGCTTTTGTACGGAAGAGGATTAGGGCCACTGAAGAAAAAAATAATAAAATTCTGAGAAAAATTCTGAATTCTATATTAAAGTCCGAATTCTGACTTTTTTTCCAGAACATTAAAAAAAATAAAATAAATGAAAATTCCAGGAGATTTTTTTTTTTCAATTTCTGGGAAAAAAAAGTCAGAATTCTGACTTTAATCTAGAATTCTGACTTTTTTCTCAGAATTTGATAATTTTTTTCTTCAGTGGCCCTAATCCTCTTCCGTACTTGTGAATTGTGGTTCAACAGAAATATTTTTAAAAAACAAGCATGATGGGACCCATGAACTAATATTTAGTTGATCAACTCTTTGAGCCAATCACTGCCATCAGGTGTTTTCTGTCACTCTCAGTCAGACTTCTGCACCTGTTGACAGGTATTCTGGTTTCACTGCTCATCAGCAAAGTGCTTTTTTTAAATTATTCTTTTCAACCACATTTCAAAGCAATGTCTTATTTCACTAAATTATAATTTAGCAAATTTTTATTTATTATTACTTTTTTCAGTTTCTACTTATTTGACTGACTTTTGTGAATTTTTCCTTTTCTTTAATGGAAGGATATGAATACATTAGAGGACGACTGTATGAACCTAAACTGTGTAGGAAACTCTTTTTAACCACAATCTAAAAGTCATATTTACAAAGTTATTCCATATCTGCACACACTGTCGGTGGATCTTCATTTTGCACCACCGGCCTCTGTTTCCTCTCCGACAGGTAGATGGCGCCACAGTCCAGACTGTCTCCCCGTTGGCCCGGCAGCCTCTGAACAACCTCCTTATCTGCATGCCGCCGTTTATTTTAACTAATGTAACACACGTCTTCCGTCGCCGTCCAAATGCACGAAGGGTGGATTTATCGTTTTGCCGTTTTTTTTCCACCGGAATCTTCAGATCTCTGTGACACTCAGGTGAAAAATCTGAGTCCAGGCTGTGCTTCCTCCCTCCTCCTCCTCCTCCCTATCCTCCCTATCCTCCCTCCTTCCACCGCCTCCCTCTCGCTGCTCTGCACCGGAGTATGGTCCTGTTTCTTAATGAGCTCCGGCACCTCTGCTGCTATCATACTCTCACCATCTGTAGTAACCCCCTGCACACGCTGCTGCAAGGCTTATTGATCCAGCCTCACCAGTGCATTCACATATTTCACCCCTTTTTCTTTTTTTTTCTTCTCCAAGCGGTCAGTCGGATTCAAATTTATCCAAACCTTAATTGAGTTTGAATGTGAAACCTTAACACACTTCCCCGCTGAGTGAATTTGACACGATTTGCCTTCGTGACCTCCAGTTTTTTTTGTTTTTATTAAAGCAGAGAGCCGCAGATGTCAGATGGTGGATGAAGCGTTTCTCTGTGAGTCACATCTAATGCCAGATTTCTGTGTATCCTCACAGGTATGTTGAATGTGTGTGTGAGTCTTCAGGCCTGACTGACTGGATGCATACAGTATATCTTTGTGTGTGTGTGCAGCTGAGTGAGCTTAAAGTCGGTGAAATGAAATTGATTCTTTTTACTGTGTTTGGCTAAATCTCCTCAAATGTTTCTTTCAGCACAAAATTTTCTTTTATTTTTTAGTTCCTTCCTGTGCCAGTTTTTTTCTACTAAACCACAACAAATATAAGCTACGAGCAAACTGCTGGTTAGAATTCCTGTCTTCTTGTGATTTCCCATCATTTATACACTGATGATTGATTTCTGTCAGGCCCAGTTGTTATAAAAGCATCACATTTGTTTTATATTAAGAAACTCACATGTGGGGTTCCTCAGGGCTCCATTTTGGGCCCAGTTATCTTCATTATAAGTGCTGCCTTTGGGGTGCATTTTAATGTATTTTCCTATAAAAGTAAAACTGAANTTCCTCAGGGCTCCATTTTGGGCCCAGTTATCTTCATTATAAGTGCTGCCTTTGGGGTGCATTTTAATGTATTTTCCTATAAAAGTAAAACTGAACTGGTTAGAATTCCTGTCTTCTTGTGATTTCCCATAATTTATACACTGATGATTGATTTCTGTCAGGCCCAGTTGTTACATATGAAAGTACCACATTCAGTTTAGATTAAGAATCGTTCATGTGGGGTTCCTCAGGGCTCCATTTTGGGCCCAGTTGCCTTCTATATAAATGCTGCTTTTGGGGTGTATTTAAAGGACTAAATTAAGCTACACAAATATATTTTCCTATAAAAGTAAAACTGAACTGGTTAGGTTTCCCATCTTCTTGTGATTTCCCATCGTTTACACATTCATAATTGATTTCTGTGAGACCCAGCTGTCATTAAAGCACCGCATTCGGTTTAGATTAAGAATCGTACAGGTGGGGTTCCTCAGGGCTCCATTTTGGGCCCAGTTATCTTCATTATAAGTGCTGCCTTTGGGGTGCATTTTAAAGACTAAATTAAGCTACACAAATGTGTTTTCTTATAAAAGTAAAACTGAAGTGGTTAGAATTGCCATCTTCATGTGATTTTCCATCATTCATAGATTAATAATTGATTTCTGTCAGGCCCAGTTGTTACATATAGAAGCACCGCATTCGGTTTAGATTAAGAATCGTACATGTGGGGTTCCTCAGGGCTACATTTTGGGCCCAGATATCTTCATTATAAATGATGCCTTTGGGGTGCATTTTAAGGACTAAATTGAGCTACACAAATATATTTTCCTATAAAAGTAAAACTGAACTGATTAGAATTCCTGTCTACTTGTGATTTTCCATCATTCATAGATTAATAATTGATTTCTGTCAGGCCCAGTTGTTATAAAAGCACCACATTCGGTTTAGATTAAGTATCGTACATGTGGGGTTCCTCAGGGCTCCATTTTGGGCCCAGGTATCTTCATTATAAATACTGCCTTTGGGTGCATTTTAAGGACTAAATTAAGCTACACAAATGTATTTTCCTATAAAAGTGAAACTGAAGACTAAGGCTAAAAAATTGAAACCTGGGTGTAGCTAAAGTTTCTCAATCTTACTGAAAATAAGACTGAGATCGTGTTGTTTGGTCCTTTTGGATGCCACTTTTCGTCCAATCGATGCTTTGTGAAAAACCCTTCAAATTTAACAGCTCAAACAAGCTTTTTTTTTTCTTTTTTGAAGGTGAAGGTCCATCTCTGCCCCAAAGACTGTGAACGAGTTGTTCGTGCCTCTATTACCGCTCGGTTAGACTATTGTAATTCCTTGCGTGTGGGCGTAAAAACAGTCGCCTCTTCAGTTGGTACAAAATGCAGCTGCTCGTTTTCTAACAGGAGAATGGAAGCATGATCACGTAACACCAGTGCTGGCCTCCCTCCACATGCTTTCTGTCCGCTTCAGTCATGATTTTGAGGTTTTCTTGCTTGTTTTTAATGTGCCGGTGCCTCCTCGTTTGACTGAACTCTCGCACCATCGACCAACCGATGCTCTTAGATCGAGGCACAATTTACTTTTGTTCTCTGGAACAATTTACTTTTTCATGTAAGAACTGTTTTTGCAAGTCGCTGCTGAGGACTGACCTCGTCTCGTTAGAGCCTGACGCCCCGACTTCATCTCTTATTGAGCTGCAATTTCCATTCTCGTTGACTTTTGTATTGTTTCGTCATCTTGTCCTTGTGCTTTATTTTAGTTGTGCAGCCATTTGGATCAACTTAAAATGTGCCTAATAAGTAAATTTGATTTTGACTTTAAGTAAAACAGAGAAGTGATGAGTGAATGCGAGCCGGTCCAGTCGGTGGAGAAACCTGTTTATAAAGTCAACACAAGTCAAAAATATGTCTCTTAAAGTCACCTCCTGTTGCTTACCTGTTGATGCAGAGCTCAGATTGGGAACTTTTAGTGACCGTTAGAGGAAATGTCGCTTTAGTGGCAAAGTTTCTTCTGTTCTTGTGTTATTTACATAAAGTTTTTTAGCGTTAGCTCGCATGAAACGTATCTATGAAATAAATGGGGAGTGTTCACTCAGCCTGTGACTGACCTTCTCCTTATCTTTGTCTATGAAGATGAAATGAACTGGAACCATAAATTCTGTTGATGAATTCTAGTTTGTTTTTTTTTAAGTTGAAGCATTTGCAGTTGTATCTTACCTGCGTGATTTTGGCGTTTCTACTTGTTGCACAGCAGCATCTTGTTTAATGAGATTCTGAGCAACATTTTACAGTCAGCTGCCTCCGACTAGCAGCCATCACAACTTAAACACTGATGAAACTTCAATGCACAGTTCTGGCACCGAGTCTGACTCACAAATAAATGTGGAGTTTCACAACAGAAGCGACTAAATTAGCCAATTAGAGCAAAGGCTCATTAAGGGTGATGTTGCATTTGGTGTTCTCGATAACGAGACGCTCTGCAGCTGGAATATGTTTCAGCCAAACTTGTCCAAATCATAATTGGTTTTGCAATTCTGAAAATAGTTTATGCCAGAACCAGAAAATCTAGAAACCAGAAGTAG